TCCTTCTTAGGGGAACACTCCTCAAAGTCATCTTCTGAAGAAACGGTCCTAGGTAGACAAATTCTGGACCATATCACCCTGCCACTCTCTCCCTTACCAAAGGCAAAATTGATTCAGTCAGAGACAGTTCACTGAACTGTCATGTGGTAAGCACTTAAGTTCGCCTGCAGACTGAGGTGGCCTGGCATGAAAAGGTCCGCTTTGCCCATGCAGAAACATATAGAGAGCAGAGTCACCCCATTAGGAGCCTCACTTGGGCAATACAGAGAAGGCCAGGTGGTTAATACCAGGAAAAAAAGCTGACAATGGGACTAGTCAGGGTGATGTGCCATGAATTTCTGCTGCTGAGTTGAGGGAAGCTCATGACAAAAACTGTTGATTTCCAGGACCACCTTAAGACGTCAAATGACCTTCCATATCAGCCTCCATGAGGCACAGCTATACAGCTGTCCCTGGAATTCCTGTGAGATTTCCAGCTCCCTTACTGCAATATATAACATGGTCTCCCTTCTTCTACCCAGACTTTAAAAATTCTTTAAAAATCTAGGTCAGGTCATGCCATTACTCTACTCAAAACCCTCTAACAGCTCCCCAGCTGAGAGTAAAAATCAAAGACTTTCCAATGGTTCCCAAGACTTTATATTCTCTGCCTCTAGCCACATTTGCCCCTTTGACATTTCTGGAACAGTATTGGCTCTTGCTGTTTCCTGTTCCTAACAATGTTCCCCCTCCAGTGACAACATAGCTCATTCTCAACCTTTCTTTAGATCTCTGCTCAAATACACTAAAGTCAGGGAAGCCTGCATTGACCACCTGATATAAAATAGCAACGTCTCCTCCCCAGCACAGATCACAATCTGACATTTTATGTATATATGTATGTATGTATGTATGTATGTATGTATGTATGTATGTGTGTGTGTGTATATATACATATATTTTTTTAATTATCTGACTTTTACTAGAATGTGAGCTCCACATGGACAAGCCCCATATGGACAAGAATAATTTCTTTTTGTTATCCTTTATGGGATATCCTTCTGCTCTGTAAAAACAAACCACATAATATTAAGTGCTATTCATTGAACTGCTCCAACTTTAGGTATTAACAAAATAAATTAACTCTTAATAGTAAAACAATGTTTTCTTAATATATCATGTAGTGGTAAATCGAAATAAATATCATAGGGATGACATCTGAATTACTAGAGATATCATCCCTAAAGGACAGGACAAAGGAGTCCCAAATTCCACTACACAGAGCCACATGGTCATCGGAATAAGAGACTTTTCAATGCAATGATATTTATTCTTAAGATACTATACTTCAAAAAATAAATGCATTTGTTAATAGAACATGTAGATTTTCAGATGATTTTTTAATCAGTGAAAATACAGGCTCAAGAGGTATTATAGTATCATTAAAAATAATCTGCATTATATGGCTATAGTTCTCTACAACTATATAATAAAGTTTTGTTTCTTAAACTGGTAGATGAATACACAGGTGTTTTAATATTCTCCTTCATACTTTTTACTGAAAGATTTCATAATAGTTTTTTTTATTGAACTCAGGTACATTTTAATAAAAGAAATAATGTTAAAATATTTATTATGTAACAAGAGTGAAAGGAGGATATTTTGAAAGATGTTCCTTATTGTGAGGTAGCACCAAGAAGTGGTTAGGGGCCCAGGCTCTGGAGACACACTGCCTGAGTTGGAATCTTAGCTCTGACACTTACTAGTCATTAACGTTAAAATGGAGCAAATTACTTAAACTTTCCGTACTTCAATTTCCTCACCTATAAAATGGGAACAATACTAATAATAAAGATATCCTAGTTGTACGTGTATATTTCAACTTCTCAGAACATTTCCTGGGGACAGTAAATGCTATATGTGTTTCTTATTTCTTTTTAATGGTTTTAAAGATGTCTGTAGGAAGACATTTGGAGACAGAGTTTGAATTTCAAGAGAGAGGTCTGAGTTAGAAGTACAAATCTAGGCATCACCGGGATACACACTCACACAGACACAGTCTTAGAACAGTGCCTAGCAGATAAGTACTATGTATATGTGAAAATGTTAACTATTATTATTTTAATATTATTAAACTTATTTTAATAACCATTTAAGAAGTCAATTGAATTTAAGCTTATTAAAATGACAATTAACACTTAAATAAAATGCATATAGCAGGTATTTCAATAAAGGTTTAATGAATGAAAATAATTTAGCAGTTATCTTTTTTGATTCATCATCATAAAAAGTGGAAACTGGAAAAAATATGACAATTTACATTTCTAAGATTATATTCAAAATCTAAATCTAAATTTAGTAGATAAAAGTAATAAAACAATTGCTAACAATTATGACTACAATAATCCTAGTTTTGTCCTGAAAACATTTTCAAATTTATTCATTCAGTTAATTTAGAATCAGTTTCAATATAAATGCATACATTTCATATGCATACGAGCCATATAAAAACATCCCCAAGTGGACTATAATTATCAATTATGTTCTTCAGGTTCCTCAGGCTTAAATGTCCTTGCCCAAAATAGTTGATAGTATTTTCCCAGGATTTGTATCTTATCCTCAAAAGTTTGGCTCATATACGGGTAGGACTGGACAGGATGGGGAACACTGGCTGTCAGTCACCATCTAAAGAAAACTGAAAGAGAAGTATGCACACCAGGTGGATGGTTTAAAATGAATTTTAAAATTCTTCTATCACTATCATGCACTAAATATGCAGTATAAGATAATGTAGCAATTATTTTCTGCCTAAAAATGTTGATTTCCACTCACATTATAGCCAGCCCTACTATTTTTCCACTGCAGTCCCTTACGGGCAGCAGTATCTCACTAAAGCACAATTGCATTAAGAATAAAGAGCAGAAGAGTTCTGGGATAATTAACAAAGATAAAAAGAACCCCAAGGAACACAGAGCAAGCACAGTTCCCTTCAGAGGATGAGGGAGGGAGAGAGGATGGTCCTGGGCCTAATATACATATCACAATATTAGTTACCAGACATAAAGGCAGACAAAAATGGCTTTTTTTGGTTGCTGTTTTCCCAGTTCTGGAGGACTATTTATAGAGCAGGGTAAAAAGTGGCTATCCGGCCAATGGCCAGTTGAAAAACTGGATGGTTTATTAGAACAGTGACTGTAAAGTCACAAAAAATATCAAATTTTATTCTCAGGGTTCCTGCATTTGTATGAGTGGTATCACAAAAGAATATTATATCTCCTAGACTATTTTTTTCTGCACTCAGATTCTGAGGAAGAAATATGTCACTCATTGCTTCTCCCCCTGTATGATTTTCCCCAGGGCAGGCAACCTTTTTCAACAAAGATTATCAAACAGGTTTATAGTATGTTAATCATTTATGGCTTTCAGAGTGCTGTTTATGATTTCTTTGCTTTTGAGAGGAAGAAAGTTAAGTTTATGCCTCAAAATGCTTAAGTAAAAATTGGTGATAAGTTTTTTGTAAGGGCTGAAGATAAGAGGCCATATTCTGATAGTTTTCCTGACAGTATGTATTACTGGCAATAGTGTATCTAAGGGATTTTTCTCTGTTTTTGCACCTTCTTTGTGTGAGCCAATTAAGATAGGTGATGCTTTATTCTTCTACCTGTCTGAATGACTATATATTTTTCCTCTAATAAAAAGTAGTAACTTGACAGATACCACCTTTATTACATATAACTAAGTGCTTACATTATTCAATTTTTTAAAAGTCCCATATAATTAATATGATTTCTACTGAAATGTATAATTACAACTAGGATATAACATGTTATTGGTTTTATAGAGAAAAGAGAAAAAATATTCTTGATAATTAAAGTTATTATTACTCAAAAACAAAACAGAAGGCTTTTTCAAGTGTATTTAGGGGAAAAAATCACACAAGAATTAAGAATTTTGCAAAAGTATTTTAACAAAACATTCAAATAAATTTCAATTAAATTTCAATTTTATTTCTTTGCTTAATATATAAGAATAAAATCTTGTTATACATAAAAAAGCACTTAGGACTATAGATAATACTTCGGAACATCAAACTTACAGAAAGTCTGGCATCACCATGCAACTATAAGAGATTGTAATTTAACCCACATATCACCAACATCTTATTTGAAATATTCATTAAATAATCACATTTTAAGAAAAAAGAATTCAAAGATGACCATTATTTAAACATACTATAATCTTATTTTTTTAAAAAAACATAAGCCTATGGTAGTAAGAGCAAAATGTTCAATAAACACTAGAACTGAGCATTTGCACTCACAAATTGCTATCTTTAGTGTATTTGATCAATTACGATATTTAGCAAGAGATAACAATGACTATAATAAGCTAAATCTAAACCTAGAAAATAAGCTATGGCCATGCCACCCTGAACAAGACAGATCCTGTCTGATCTTGGAAGCTAAGAAGGGTCAGAGCTGGTTAGTATTTGGATGGGAGAACACCTAGGAAGACCAGGTGCTGTAGGCATAAAAAATAGAAAATAAGGAATTGTAAACTGACAAGGTCCTTGCAATCTGTGAAGTCAACCAAGAGTTGCCTCACCTAAAGAAAAAAACAAAAAAAGAACAACAACAACAACAAAAAAAAAAACCTAGAAAATAAGCCTAATGTAAAAACAATAGAAAAAAAAAATTTGTCTCTTCACTGGCTCCGTGACTCCATCTATTTTCTCCTTATACATAGATATTTCAGAAAGAAGAAGCTCCCATGCACTAAATAATAATTTTCAACTTTTTCCTGTACCTTTTCTCCCCTAAATTCATCTGATCAGAAGAGTTTTCATTTGCTTGCTGGTAAATCCTACAAAAAGTCCAATCAATTTATCCATGGTGATCTCCCTCTGAGCTTCAAATAGGTAGTAAAACAGAAAAGTTCAAAGCAGATGGAAAAGCAGTAAGGTTCCAAAGGATGCCAGTTGAGATCTTTTGTTGAGAAAAATCTACTTCCTAAGTCAACAGTTCAAACACACTTCACAGCTGGAGGCTAGGGTCTTTGGAAAATGAAAATCTTCTCGCCACTTCAATCAGCAGGTTTAAAATGCTCCACATCCATAGTGGGGTAGATGTGGCCCTCAACCATCAGAAAATCAATGGCTTCCTTGATGGCCTTGGCACTCAGGCTGCGAAGCTTGGTCTGGAGCTAGTGGATGCTCTTGCCTTCATGGTGAGGACACTCATGAATCAAACGCAGCACCTCCTTCCAATTGAAGTTCAGGTGAGACTCGCCGTCCTCTGGAGCCTTATCCACTTTAGATGGAGCAACGGGTGCACTTTCCCCAGAGGCCTCTTGGAGGGCTTTATCCAGTATCATGTGTGCATCGACTGTTTCCAGAATATGTGAGGTGAACTCGTTCATGTGTTCCAGAACGCGAATCTTCAATACCTCAAGGCTCCTCACCTCCGCAGAACCTCTGAGGATACCGAACCCTTTGGCATACACTCCCATTGGACAGGGAGTCGCCCCTGCTTTGTTTAATCTCTACTGAGAAAGTGGCAGGCATGGATAGGCTTGGTGGTCATATCATCAATCTTGTAAAGAATGTAGTATGTGGCTCTCTCCACCTTCCTGATGATCCCTACAATTGAGACCTGGGAAACCTCTATTCCTCTAACCTTGAAAACATTGTCGACCACAGCGGCCATGAGCAGCTGGTTTACAGAAGGTATAATGTCATGGATTCAAGCTCTGGATCTTGGAGTCCTCAGAGCGGGAGCTGCACCACCCGGAGAAAACCCATTTTTACTCATCTTAACATCAGTTCAGGTGTATGAAGCAGTAGGATTTGGCACTAGTCAGCGAGTACCTCAGGCGAGCACTGACCTCTTTGAGGGCTACCAACCAATGCATGACCTGTGATGACACCAGCAGCCTTACAACACTTGTGGAATCAATCAGCTACCAGACTGCAGCTGGCTTCAGCCAATCTGATACATGCTAGGCTACATTTTTAAAGTCCCGTGTGCAATTTCATGCCTCTCTGCCATCTTATAGAAATGCATTTTTGCTAGGTTCACCCCCCCACCTCCATTATGCCTAAATGTCACAACTTTTTCTATAGTCCTTCTTAAAAAGATCAATTTATTCACTCATTCAATAAACTAACCATTCAAGAGAAATTTCAGAACACATAAGTGAACTATGATAAAATGCTGTAGATGGGGAGAGGCCAGGTGAGATGGGGGGACGGGAAGGCAGAGGGGACAAGTGGAGAAGTACCACCATGGTTACTATTCTGAAGGAACTCACTTCCTTGTTCAAATCATTAAAACCAGAAGCATACTCCTACTATAATCACTTATTAAATATCAATTTATTCATTTGTTCAATCAACATTTCAACAGAAATTTTTGAACACGTACCTGAACTATGGCAGAGTGCTGTGGGAGTGGGGGGAGCCAGAGGCAAGGGGATAAGGTGGTGAGGGCGACAGGGTTGGGGTTACATCGAGGGGATTGGAAGGTGGGGGACAGGAGGAACCACCACCATGGTTACTGTTCTCAAAGAACTCACATCTTTGTTCAAATCATTAAAACCAGAAGCATTCTGGAAGAAACAGCAAGATGGCCACCTTTGAACGATTATCACATTGAAAGGTAAATTACATCTTACCACTGCCTTTTTATTTATTTTTTATTGTAGAATTATAGTTTTCCAGTTATTCTGCCAACTGCACTATAGGTAAAAATAAATAATAGTTGACCATTGAATGCGGGTCCACTTATACTACATAGTTCAGACCTGCATTGTTCAGGGATCAGTTGGTAGCTGGGAATCAATGCTACCCATTTTTGACTTAGCTGGCAATCATCGCCCCTAATCCTTGTGTTGTTCAAAGGTCAATTGTAATATGATATATTTCAATTTGTACATAAATCTAAATGGAATGTCAGAGCTCTAAATTATTTTAAAGGCTCTGTGGATAGGTCAGAGAAGTACAAGATGTGGCCCCATTACATATTAGGAAAAACATAAATAAAATTAAAATATGGTTTCTATATACTCTTACCATTAATTTCTGAATTTAAGACCTACCAATTGTGTAAGCAGATTCCAAAATACTTTCATATTATACTGAAAATTTATTTTATTTATAAAAACATTTTGGGTGTAATTAATTTCAAGGCTTTTTTATTGTTAATAAAGGAACATCAGTTATTGAAATACATCATTGGTAAGGAACTTCTTAAAAATCCTTTGTAGCTTGGTAATAGCCTAAATATATAGAGTTTTGAAGAATTTATTAATACTTCCTCTCTTGTTTTTATTGGTTAAAATAATTTCATTGTGCTATTTCAAATTATAGAAATGTATGAGTAATATCACTAAAACTTGTAGAAGAATGTAAAATTATATTTATTTCTCAGGTTAAAAAGAAATACTATCATAGAACCAATATACTGAATTTGTTTTACAAATAAATATATAATCATTATATGAGTACACAGATTTCCATGTAAATATGCATAATTAATGTCTGGATCCATGTTTATATAATCAAAGAGGAATTGACATCCAAGTAATATTTGTGTTTTTAAAACTGCACATTATTAGAGATCAGATTAACTATATTTCTTAAATGTTTACAACCTCATAATCAGACTGCTTTATTAGCTAACATCAGCCTTCTCATCATAAAATCCTGAGGTTCAAATGATGTGACTGATTATATTCCCAACAATTATATACAGTACAGGTTGTATGAATTATACCAAAACTATAAGAATCACGTACCTGACAGGATTGCTGGTTAAAGAAACCCTCAGGGATTCTAGGCAGTTAAGAAGTTTCTCATCTGAAATACCAGATCGTAATTCATGAACGTATTCTTGAGAAGACAGGGTGCATTCATGTTTGCTGTTTCTCAGCCCTCCCTATATTAAAAAAAAAAGATATCATTTAAGACAACAGGTTTAAGAAAAAACACACTTTTAAGATAAAATAATGCATAAACTGTGCAAATATTTTAGTATTTAAAAATGTGTGCAGAGTGCCAGGCACTTAAAAATGTGTGGTCATAGAATTGATGTGGTAAAATCATGTTGTATATATCTCAACATTCCCCTCAGCCTCATTTAAAAGAAAATTACACTGCTGGTGCTCATGACCTGAATAGAATATGGGCTTGAGTTGCAAAAAGTATCACTGACAGGAATGCTTAAATTTACAATCCAGGCATTAGGATTAACATTTGCTGGTCCTCCTTAACCCACAGGATAAACATTTATAAATCATCTTATTAATTTTCCTAGCTATTTATGTTCTATTCCCCAAAACACAGTGAACAAAATTTACTATAAAACATTACCCAAATCTACTGAAATATATCAGAGTTTCATCCTATCAAAAAACAAGTGAAAACAGTTATTAAAATGTAAAACAACATAGTCTCCAAATAGCATGTTAGTTTAAACAATTAGTCTAAAAGATTCACCAATTATCAACTATTATTTTCTAACTTTGTTACTCTCGTGTTGTAGGTTAATCTTTAAAAAGTCATTAAATGCATTTATCTGATAGTGACTAGTTTTTAGCTTAATTTCCAATATATGTAGGGTTATTTCTAGAACTCATCTCATCACAGCTCTTTAGCTTCATCACTTTGCTATAACTATGTAAGTAGTTTGGGATAAAGGCTGGGAGGAAAACATCAATACATTCATTGTATTAATAACTCAAAGTTTCACATTCTAGACACACATAATCATAACTGCCCCTTTCCTATATTACAGACATATCTCACTGAATCAAAACTCTAGCTTGAGTCCCATTTTCTAAATTCAAACAAATTACACTCGGTTTCTCCTAACTACCTTAGCTACAATAAGGAAGGCAATTTTTTTTCCCATTTGGTAGAAGTCATCATTAGAGGATACAGAATTATTAAAAAAAAAAAGAGAGAAAAGAAAGGAAGAAAGGAAGAAAGGAAGGAAGGAAGGATCTTAAAGTACCAGGCCCTGTTCTAAGTATCTTAGATGTATCATCATCATCTTTTATCTTCACGACATCCTAGTGAGGGAGGTGGTATTACCCCACATAACAGATGAGAAGGAGAAGGAGAAGGAGAAGGAGAAGGAGAAGGAGAAGGAGAAGGAGAAGAAGGAGGAGAAGGAGAAGGAGAAGGAGAAGGAGAAGAAAAAACAAACGAACAAACAATGTGTTAATAATGAGAAATGGATTCCCTAGGGTTTCATACTATTTGGCTTTTGATTGAGAATGCCTTCTCAATATAGAAATTGTCAATCATTCTTAATGTCTGAATTTTTAAAAATTCCATTAAATAGTAAACATTTAAAGTCTGACAAAGTTTTATGTAAGAGAACTATTCCCTTATAGCACTGTGGCACTATCACTCCTACGGTACGTCACACATTAGGGCAGAGGTCATTATTTGTATCTGTCTCTCTTCTAGAATGGAAGTCCACATATGCCAAGTACCTAACACAGTGAATGCATTTGGTGACCCTCAACAAAAGTGTGCTGTTACTGAATCTGTTCATAACAATTACAGAACAAGAAATATAACTCCATACTTTTAGTTCCCAAATTTTATGTATTGGCCACTGACCTGATTTTTCTTGCTTTGTTAGGATATACAGTAGATGTTCAAGAAGTCTACTGAATATATCACCACATATATGGCACAGTAAGTAAAACCATCACCGTGAAATCATTTCCACATTTCTATAACTTTTTAATCCATCTCTTAAGGCTACAAACCCACAAAGAATAAGAGCGAGCAAACATTTACAGCATAAAATTGGGCACGTTTACTGCCACATACCACTTTCATATGATCCTCAAACATTTTTTCTTAATTAATGGATAACAAGGCCCTACTGAGCCTCCCCTGGAGGCTTGTATATAAAGCTTATTCCTGTAGAATGACCTTTGTATTTGCTGTTTTCTCTTCCTAGAAGACTTTGACCCCTGACCTCGCCATTGATGGCTCTCATCATTTAAGTTTCAGCCCAACAGTCTTCTCCCCTCCACACCAATTATCATCACAACACCATTTGAATCCTCACTTATAGTATTAGCTTTATATAAGTTTAGCGCTTTGTTTACTGGGTCTTCCTCATTAAAACATAAGCTCTATGAGGCAGGAATCTCACCTACCCTGTTCACCACTGTATCTCCAGATCTTAATACTGTTCTTAGCACACAGTAAGTACTCAATACATATTTCTTGAATGGCTGGAGGATAAACAAATGGATGAATGACTAATGAGTTTCAACATGCTGAAGCTTCCAAATTCCTTTCACTTCAAAATATGACAGTTCTGAGATGTTCCATTGCAATATGTTCAGAAATGCTAGTATAGAACAGGTAAATTGAGACAGTGCATGATAGCATGCTGGGGACAGCTCAAACTGCCACTGGGTTTGAATCATGGCTCCCTCACTTACCTTCCAGGTAATCTTGGAGCAGGCTATTGAACTAATCTCTATAAACCTATTTGTTCATCTATGATAAAGGGATAATAAACACGCACCCCACGTGTTTATTATCAGGATTAAGACAATGCATATAAAGTGCCTAACATAGGCATTTTCGTATGTGTTGTCTCACAGAGTAAGCTTCTCAGAAAATGTTAGTTCCCTTCTTCCGTGTGGTCATGGCTGAAACACTCTTTATGAACATTTGGGCCAGCCCACCACCTTGGGACTCACCCCTCCCCCAAATCTTAGAAAAAAATTTAAATTATGTAATTTAGGATACCCTGTGGTTATAACGAGTGGAAATAAACGAATTAATGGAGCAGGACAGAAAATATATAGCCTTACATAATAAATGCCTTTTATCAAGTTTAGAAGGACTAAGTTCATATTTGAAAATTATGAAACATGATAGCATGTAAAGACTAGACTGGCCCTTAAAGATCAGCTCTTCTATTATCCTCATTACAGAAACAGAAAATCGAGGTGATTGCCCAAGTTCACATCATTAGTGAGGTTGTGAGAATAAAACACTAATGTTCTAGTCCTCAGGTTACTTCTTTTTCCCCCACTATATGTCACTTTTTCCCAATATTGAATAAAAAAATTAAAGCAACAAGTGTTTAGTTCCAAAGTCTCTATAACAAAATGTCAAAGTAGCTTCAGCATAATCAATATGGTACAAAATAATATTTTAAAAATCACCAAAAAACAAAACAGTGCAATAGATTAAACTAATTCTCACTGTATATAATAAGGCTGTAATACAAGAATGGCTTATTCTTAACATCCTGTTCTGATACTGAACAAAGGAAACAACTAGATAATGGATGGATAATAATCGACATTTTAATTAGCTGCTCTGTATGAGATTAATGAAAATTACCACTGTGCCCATTTGATCTTTAAAAAATAATGCAGATGAAGTTAGCAATTAGCATACATCATGCTACTCCAAAGCTGGGTGAACAAAAAGCTTTCCTAATTTGAAGCCATTCCTTAGTTTGAAAATCATTAGGACGGAGACACTTGTCAGTGTGACTATGCTTGTATTATTCTAAGACACTACACAAAGAACCAAAAGATACTTCGGGTCAGTTTAATAATCACATCTCCTACCCTGATATAAAATGTTAATATCAAAACCAGATAAGCAGTATTCTAAAAGGAGCATTTTAAGTTTTTGCAGTAGAGATACCACTTCACTTCCGATTTTATGTCTGAGCACGCTCTGTCATTCTTTAATGTAAATACAGATTTACTTATAATTTGAGGAAAAGCTTCATAGTTCTAAGCTGTAAAGGTATTTGGCAGCAGACACTAGGAAGAACATATTGATTGTAAACAGATCTTTTAAACTACAGCATGCAGACAAATAGCAATTACTATCAGTGGTGTCATCTTCAAATAGGAAGGACAATATTATTGTTGTGAAACAGTTACATTGTTACTAATATTGATCATGATCTGAAACCCTAATATAATCAGGTTTCTTTGGCTACTTTAATCAAGTGAATTTCTTATCTATCATTGCAGTTCTCTGAAAAAGCAATGTCGGAGATTAACAAATTTGGAATTATATCTACAAAGGTTCACAGTATTGTTGAGAGGCTCCTTAAACTTTAAAAGCATAGGAAATCAAAAAGCCGTTTTCCTTATCATCAGTTCCTTGAGTTCCCATAGGAAAAGGATACACAAAACAAGTGCCTGATCCAAGTCAATCTACCTATTTATTCTAATAGCAATACATTTGGTGGGCTATGCTATTCTGAATGCTAAACTTTAGAGGGCTCCTCTCCAGTTAGAAAAAAAACATCTCATAAAGGGAGATTATTAAAATAATTCATTTATCCAAAAATACAAAATATATATTAAAACAAATGTATTACGACAAGATTTCAAATAATTACATATGCAATTTGCAGTGAAAATTCTTTAACTTGCATGAAAAAATGTACCATAAAAGATACTACGTATTATCTGTTCACAGTCTGTAAAATAAAAACCTACACAGAAAATTATCACCCTGAGATAACTCCATATAGTGTCATTTCCCATTTTAGGACACATTTTTAACACCTTTTCAGAGGCTGAAAGTAATATGTAAAATAAGAGAACATATCTTAACTTCTAGAACAGAAAAAAAAAAAGCTTTTTTACAGTAATGTAGATGCATCATAATTCTTCAGATTATACATACCATTTGTTCAAAAAGGATTTGACTAAGTTTATTTAAATATGATTAGCTAAAATGTTTAAAGAAAGATATAAGATTTTCCGTGAGAAATCATTTATAGTATACTTATTGAAGCCTCTGTATATCAAATATCAGATTAAGCATTTCACCCTCAAATTATAGACTCTAAAACCATCACAGAACAAATACTTAAATTATTCTTTGAGCACATGTTATGCTACCAATGCCAAGTGCACA